GCACCGCCAATGGAGGGCTTATTCATTGGCCCACAAATGTCAGTGTGCACCAGGTCAAGAATGTCCGCAGACCTATTTTCTGATCTTTTACCGAATTGCTTTTCGCAAATCTTACATTTTGCACACGTTTCACACACATGTTCTTTTATATAAACTCATGTTTGCATCCAAGCTGAACCCATGCCATTTTGGCCATCTTTTGTAAACTCGTGTAGTTCAGGTGACCGAACCGATTGTGCCATTTTTCCATTTGCGCTCTTATAGGCTGCGACACAAAACATTTTTTTATTTCGTTTTTAAATATATACAGCCCGTTTCTATTTTGTGCTTTTAACAAGACTTCATGTCTGTCCATTATTCTCGCTTCATTGTTTTCAAATATTACTTTAAGTCCATTTTTGTTGGCTTTCGCGACAGACATAAAATTACACTGCAGTTCTTTCACGTACAACACGTCGATCAAATCAAAAGATCGCTTGCGCCAATAGAAGCGCACAGTACCACGACCTTCCGCACAAATAGAATTATTACCAGCTAGCATTATCTTTTCTTTATTCTCATAAAATTCTATAAACATCGAGCGAGCACAACACAAGTGGGCGGTTGCACCACTATCCAAACACCACATTTCTTTTGCTAGCTCAATATTCGTAGCCACAGTCAATACAGTGAAATTTGTTTTCTTTACGGACTTATCTTCTTCTGGTTTAGTCGACTTCTCTTTCACTTTACAATTTGCGGCAATGTGACCGCGACGACCAACAAGTGACATTCGATTTCCCTCTCTGTTGTGTGTTTGAAGAACCGTTTGACTTGCTTGACTGTTTATCCGTGCACGCTGCAAATATTTTCTTCTCACTTCTCTCTGTGTATTCATCACATGCCTTCCTTCTTTCGCCTTCTTCAAGCAATTTGAGTTTTCAGTGCACTAACACTAGGCAAGACATCACGCGATTCGATGGCAACAACAAAGTTCTCGAATGAGTCATTTAAACTTGACAACAAAATGATCGCTAGCATTTCATCAGGAACCGTTAACTCTATTTCTTGCAGTTTTTCAACTATATCGGAAAAACTATTCACATGCGTTCCAATGCTATCATTTGCACTCATTTTCAAATATAACAATTGTTTAAACAAATTAATACGACGAGCGGGGCCTTTTGGCGTATGTATTTCCTTTAATTTGTTCCACGCTTCCAACGCTCTTTTACAGTGCTTCACATTATTTATTTGTGAAGGCTTTATGCACAGCATGATGCTTGCAAGCGCTTTCTTGTCTTTTGCGTCGAACTGTGCATTTTGTTCTTCGCTCCCATTTTCGCTTTTTGTTAAGTGATCACATACAACTGGCCATAGTTCGGTATGTATCAAAACACTTGTCATTTGATTAGCCCATGCACTATAATTGTCATCGTCTAGCTTTTCTATGGCGAACATTCCCGAATTCATCTTAAGCATCACTTGATCAGAAAGTCCAGAATAATCGCGCACGAACAATTCACTTTCACAAGATTTGATATATAATATGTACATGCGTGTCCAGAAACTCTCCCGATGAATTATTCAATTTCATAACCTGTTTGAGGTCAATTAATTCAGGACAAAGTAAAGAATTTATCTATTACACAAAAGCGAAGTTCTAGTCAGGGGTTGCCAGACGTTATTATTTTATAATAGGGGACATGCAGCGTTGCCAGTGATATTATTATTCTCAACAATTAATAATGAGGGAAATAATATGAAAATATAATTAAAATATCATTCAATAAAAAAAGGGCTATAAAATATATAAAAATATCTGATAGGATTTGAACTTAAGCAAAATATAATATTTCATTGCAATAATTGAGTGTGCTATACAAACAGCACCACATAAGATATTCGAGCAATTTTGTCTAATCTGTGAACTGAAACAACTATTGTTGTTTACTTGCTTCAAATGTTCATATGTCTATATGTGAATATTCTTGAAATTGCCTTCCTTCATTCGCATGTCCAAATATATTTGCATATATGTACACATATGTACATATGTATGTCCCTCAATATGTCTTTCGCAAAAAATCAAACATTCGCGCAAGTGACAAAAAAACGTAGACGCACATCATCGGCCAATAATATTCAAGCGAACTCGCGGCTTATTTTCTAAGTATCTCATATTACAACGACAACAAATTCATAACTCTGCGCCGCGCTATTTTTTCTGTGCGCCTGGTAAACCATATTTGGTTTTCATATAGAAATCCTACCGCAAATGCGAAATTAAGTTAATAAAATGAGTGAAATTGAATTTCAGTATAACGAGAAAAATTCAATTTTACAATTTGACAGCCACCACTGAAAATCCTACCTCCTCCTCGCATTTGATGGAATGATTGAACAAGATGGTTGTAAATGTCAAATAACCAGTGTTGCCATACTAATTTATTTTTCAAACGAAGAAAAATAAAATAAAAAGAGAGATTATACCCTAAATACAGGAATCATAATTGTTGATGGACACTAATAAATCTTTTAGTTTCGTTCTTTTGATAAACCCAGGTGTTGGACCGACCAGGGTTATTTTTTTTGAAGTGCGGCCGAAGGCCGCCAACGCAACAGAAATTTCTGCGCGAAAAAACTTGTGTACACCCCGGTGTTGGATCGACCAGGGTTATTTTTTTTGAAGCGCGGCTGAAGGCTGCCAACGCAAAAAGAAGTTCTACGCGAAAAAGTAATATTGTCATAGAGAGTATAACATAATCCTAAACATCAATGCTCTCTAACGGATATTAATACTGTTACTTTTGAAGAAAAGTACCGTTTCGTTATTTCCATTTGCTATTTACTTCATATTTGGCAAATAAAATTCAAACGCGTTTAGTGAGTTGTGCTTAAATTGTGGAAAAGGATAAATTATAAAAGTTATTATTCAAGTTTTTATTTTAAAAATGAGTGGAATTTCAACTGGTAAGTTATTATACTTTTTAATATTTTTTTAAATATTTATTAATAATCATATTTAGATATTGATGAACAATCGACCAGCCGTGGCGTGATGCGCAGAACTAATGTTCTGACAGTGGCAGAGTTGAAAGAAATGTGGGATGTGAGGAAGGTTTTCCAAACATTTGAAACAAAGGAGAGCTGCATAGCCTTTGCTGAAGAGCAAGGGCTCATATTAACGAAAAGGATTTGCAGGATGCATAAGATCCCGATGGTATTATCAATGGCGGGGTCTAGTATCGTCGGCACATTTATATGCCGAAAAGGATCGTGCCGTACGCGTTCAGCAATATCTAGGTCTAAGGGTACTTGGTTCGAGAACGCCAAAGTACCCTTAAACCAGATATTTTACCTTATGTTTTGTTTTTCGTCGCATTGGTCGCATGAGGAGGTGCGTAAAAATAGCTTTGTCAGGGAACCGTTTTTATCCAGCGCTACCATATGCGACTGGTACAACTACTGCCGCGAAGCTGTAGTATTATACCAAGTGGACCATCAGGAGAAGTTGGGTAAAATTGGTGGCCCTGGGAAAAAAGTACAAATTGACGAAAGCAAATTTGGAAAGAGGAAATACAACAAAGGTAATATTAAAAATAAACAATAATACATAATTACTTATATATTTTTCTTATTTCAGGCAGGAGGGTGGAAGGTCACTGGGTGTTGGGAATGGTGGAAGATGGCAGTGAGAACTTGCGGTTGGAGGTATGTCCTGACAATGTCAGGTCTGCTGAGGTGCTCATACCCCTGATTGAAAAACCCGTTGCGCCCGGCACAATCATTTGTACCGATTGTTGGAAGGCGTATGATTGCTTATCAACTCACGGGTATGAGCACCGTCGGGTAAACCATAGCGATCCTGACAATCCGTTCGTTGCGGAAGACGGGACGCATACCCAACGAATTGAATCCCAGTGGCGGGTAATGAAAAGATTTTTCTCAAAGGATAATTACAACAATCCAGAAAACTTTGCGGATCTTATCATTGAATATGTGTGGCGAAAAAATATTGCAAATAAGCATGAAGATCCTTTTGTGAAATTAATTGAAGCAATAATACACACTTACAAACCATAAAAAAAAATCTTTTTATTTTATTGAAATAATTTCTTAACTTTTTATTTTTCTAGGTTTTGGATTCCTGTAATTGGGGTATAATCTGTTTTCATTTCTTTCAGTTCACTTACAAAAGATATCGATAAGGTAACACTGGTTATTTGACATTTTGCAACCATCTTGTTATTGTGAAAATCACAAAAATTGAAGAATAATTCAAATATTGAAATAAAGCTATTTTTTATGATATACAATAATATAAAAAAAATGTGTAAAAACGAATTAGTGAAGTGTTAGTGGGTATAAAAGTGAAAAATATAAGTGTATAATTCATTCTAAAACAAAAAAATACGTACTTTAAATAGTCGAAATTTTGAACTTTAAACCCAAATATCTCGAAAACTATAATTTTCCGGCGGCTATATCTATATATATTCTTGATCTGCTCTATCCGCCCATACCCATTTTATCCCCGAAAGCCTGGGAAGTTATACTAAAGTTTTCCCAAATTCATACCTATAACCGTTTTTAAAATAAATTCGATAAATAAAATATATATCTGATGTAATTATGTGGCAGTGCGCCCCTGGCCCCTTCTTGCTTGTGATCGTTCAACTTTCTTCTCGCACAAAGCAAAAAGTGTGGACAAAAGTCATTGCTTGTGCGGGGCAAAAAGAAGCAAGCATCAGCGTACGTGTATTTAAGAATATATGTGTGATTATCACATTTGTGTAAATACGCATAATAAGGAAATATTCAATAAACCTAAGCATATGAACATATTTTCCTGATATATTTGAATTTTATCAGGAAGTAAAATATGCTATTAAAGAAATTGAATTATGATATGCTTAGATTCCAATTAATAAAATAAAAAATTAAATAAAATTTCAGTTTCATGAGTTTTAGGATTCTAACGTATAGGTTCGTATATGGATTGTGCTTAACCCCTTCCCGCTTACGACCTCACCACTTCAAAAGTGGAAACGCGGCCGCTTAGCCACCGTTTTGTGGTTATCCTTTGTTCAATAAGCAATTACTCACGCAACGCACATACATAAGTTGGAAAAATTGTCTATTAAATATTTATTTTATTATGAATTCTGGGGTTTTTACCGGTAATACAGATTTTTAATTCAGAAGGCTTTTCATAATTATAAATTTGTCATATCATAGAAATTGAAAACATAAATCTAAATAGGTATGCGCAACGATTTTTCATTTAGGAATATTCGTTGTGTTTATTAATAGCATTTCGCACATTGTGTGGTGTATTTTTCTTTTTCGAAGTTATATTTTTCGATGTTCCCTCATCTGGAATTACAAATTAGTACTCAAAAAGATTTCATTTAACATTTGCTTCTTCTCTGTTCATTGACGTTCTCTGATACAGCTAAATCAAACTGAAAGAATTAGAGCACTTATGACAGCAATTAAAAGCTGAAAATCAAAAGCAAAGGGCAAAATAAGAGCACATCTGTGACAAATGATAATAAACCACAGTACGAAACTGTTGAAGAGGAATTGGCCCTGTAAACAGAGTGGATTTTAAAGAAAAGCAAAAGGCCTAGTAAAAAGCGTAAGACTGAAGCTTCGTCATCGAATTCTGAAAAGCAAACTACTAAAAATCATTAACCGATCTATGAAACGCGTCCTCCGCCCATTATGATTTCAAATATCTCTAATTAAAAAGTTAAATAACCAAATTAAAGATATTGTCAAAAGAACATATGTCTTAAAACTCTTAAATAACGACATTAAAAAAATAAGTGTCACATCAAATGATGACTATAGATCAATGACAAAAAAGTTTTCTGATCATCTTGACATTCCTACGTAATCAAACAAACGCGCCATATAAAGGTTATGGATAAAACTCACTCGGGTAGTACTAGTGCTATTGTCGCTGATTTAAAGGACCTAGGGTAAATGTTCTGAATGTCGTAAACAAATTTAAGTGGGAAACACGAGAGCCACTAAACATGTTTCTAGCTAATTTTGATTCTAACGAAGACGTCAAGAAAATTTATGAAATCAAACACATTCTGCACTCCTTTGTTCTTATTGAGCGTGTTAGAAACTCCAAACTCATTCCTCTATGTGAAAATTGCCAGACAGGCATTTGGACATACCAAGAATTTTTACGGTACAATGTCAAAATGCGATAAATGCAATGGTAAGCACAAAACGATCGAGTCGATCAATTTCCACCTCTGCAGTCGTTTAGATAACCTAGAAAACAATAAAAATTAAACAAAATTTAAGGTGTGAACTGTGCTTTCCGTGTTATGACATGGCACAGCCACATTTTTTTCAAAAACTACAATGTTTATCACTCAATCCACCCTAGCAATTGTGCAAATATATTAATAATTATGAAGATGAAAAAACCAGTACGCAAAATTTTCAAACCACAACTATTACACTAAAAACAATGAACCAACCCCTCTCAATTACTGCAATAGACTTTCCGCCGAGGTACGAAATTCTCGTTGATGAACCAGGGACCGAGGACGAGATTTTTTTTCGGGGCTCAGGAAACAGGATGTGAGTTTGTATCGACCGGAGCACCAACTTACTGGTCAACGGATACCAACCAAATACCCGATATAATAGATTTCTTTATTACTAGGAAAGCGTCCCGAAATTTCATCGAAATTGAAGGGGGCTAGATCTAAGCTCTAATCACTCCCCAATGTATTTAACACTTAGCGAAATCGCCATTAAATAAGAACTAAATTCGAAACTTTACAACGAAAATAGGGACTAGACTTCATTCAAACAAGTACTTCAGACTGAAGTAAACTGTCCCCAAATCTCAACAATTGAGCAACGAGAGCTAGACGTAGAAATATCGTTGGAGGAGGAAAATGTATGCTTAGCGGTATTCCTGGACATTGCGCAGGCCTTATGTAAAAATTAAAAATATGTTTTCCGGTTGAGTATTGTGCTCTTCTGGAATCATATATCACCTCGAGATTCTTTCGTGTAAAACAAGGGAATGTATTCTCCAAACTAAAAGAAATTGAAGCAGGCATACCGCAAGGAAGTATTTTAGGATGACTTTTGTACATTCTGTTTACTAGAGACCGTTAGCAACAAATAGTATGACTGCCACTTTTTCTGATGACACGGCAATACTATGCATCGAATGTACAGCAGAAAAAGCTATGGTACATCTGCAACTTGCAAGAAATGCTCGATGTTAAATTCCGCTGCAAAGAGCACATTAAGATTAAAAGAATTAGACTTAACCTGAAATTGTCAAAAATAGAATGGCGAATTAGACGAAGGTCAAACCTGTCCACACATAACAAATTACTCTTAACGTTTTCAAAATAAAGTGTTAAGAGCTATCGCTAGGGCTCCCTGGTACATATGAAATGCTGATATTCATCAACTTATTCCAGTGAGAGAGCATCTAAAAATAATGATTTTTCGGCATTTAAATTAAAATACCCCACATTTATTAAGATTAAATATTATTATACATGTATCCTTTAAACATATGGAAAAATATTTAAACCTTTTTGTGATATATTAAAACAACTGATTTTTGAACTTTCAATACTTAATAAAATGAATAAATGAATTAACTCTCAATTGAAAAATGTTTTTTATCATTTGCAATAGACAATATGCACATACATTTCAATTTCGCATTTTCTTTAATTATCATTTTTGAACTTTGACAGTTGACTGAGTTTAGGAGGTTTTGACGTTTTGAAATGGCTCTCTCATTTCCAGTGACAGCTGAGTTGGTCATATCTTTATCTCTGGTAAATACGGTCGCCGAAGAAATAAGATTTCAGGCAGAAGCCCACTACAATATACTTAATTAACATGTAAATGATGAAGCGAGAAATCTCCTCTTAGCCACATGTCATGCTATCAAACATTGTTATTAAAAAAATACATTTAAAAAAGTTGTTTTACATAATTTATTTTATCGTAGGTTATCATCTTAACATATTTTTTATTTCTATTTAACAAACGCAAGATGTAAAACGTATGCATTTGCAATTCATCATTGTACTTGTAGGAACGCATTGTAGCACTTGATGCCACTCTTTGAATTGCTGAATCCGGACACAATTATTGCCGTCTTCATTATCTACATTGACACCATACAATGTAAACAAAGGGGTTATTGATCCCATAAATTGTAAATAAAGATGCATTGTCCTCATAAAATGAAAAAAAAGAAGTCATTGACCTCATACATTGTGGGGACTCAACACATCTGCCAGCACAATTTCATATTCAATAATTCTTCTTTTCTCTTCACATCAGCATTTAAGGGAATATCCCAACCGTTACAACTGTTAAATTCTTACAATTATCTCTGCTGAATTTCGCTAAGAACTTCTATTTGTTTTACAACTCAGTCGTAGTTGAACGGTCACGCAATACCATAGATAAAATGATCCGAAACTCCTCTCTTTTCCTTCTGAGAGAGCTCATGAACTTTCAGTGCTGCCAAGAAAAACCACGAGTTCATGAGCTACTGAACAGATGACAAGCAAAACAATGAACTATCCCTAAGAATCCCGCAAAAATAAATTGCGAAATCAGTGGATAATTTGTCGCAGAGTATTGTTTTGCTTAGCAGTACCCAGCAAATGTTAGGTAAACTTTGACTTCCGAATAAATTATCAAAAGATATTTGTTTATTGAGTATATAAAAAAGAAATAAGGATCATGTTTAGGTTATTTAAAACTTGTGTATCTAGAAATATTAAAATATTTTGTTAAATTTAGTTTCAAACGTTGATTTTGAAAATCTTTTGTGATTAAAATATACATGTACTTATATTTAGAAGTCACATAGGATATCTAGCTTGTTAAACTAATTTTAATTATGTATATTTTTCTGTAAAATGGAAACCGAAAACTACCCAAGAAATACATTTAAAAATTTCAAAACTTTCTTCCCTTAATGGCACCACTGTCAAATGTTATAAAAAATGTGGACTTTGACGGCGCTCTCTCAAATCAAAGAGTTTCGGATCATTTTATCC